CCCCCCCCCCCCCCCCCCCCAATCATTTTACTACTTGCATAACCTAGGGCAAGTTGAGACGGAAAATATGACAATACTAATGAGTACATATGTCACTTTATAGTCCTCTTTTCAACTTTTAGCAGTTTAGTTAAATTAGGGAAAGTAATAGGAGAGTCTTTGGGGGCTCAGTTTAAAAAGGACTTCCCAATTATGAGAATACCAGAAAACAGCGGCCCCAGAGCTAACAATAACACTTGAGAGCTTACTTCGTGTCAAGAGCTCTGCTAATAGCTTTACACATGTGATTCATTTATCCTTACGGGCATGCTACGGGGTTTTTACTGTTATCCCCATTAAAGATGATGAGACAGGTATGGAGAAATTAAGGAACTTGGCTAAAATTACTGCATATGTGCAAGCAGAAACTGCAGAACTGATTATCCAGATGTTTTAAGTAAGGGTTTCATGTATTGTGTTGGAGAACGAATCCTAAAGCATGGTACCAGTAATTTTTTAAATTTGCATTTATTTTCATGTTATTTAGAAATACGACGCAGACCCATGATTTTAAAAGTATTAATTAGGTTAACTAAAAAAAAATGTTGAAGTGTGTCAACCTATTGAATAATATTAGGTAAACCATAGTATGGGTGGTAGATATGGCAAAAATAGTAAAGGTGGTTTGCAAATGGCTGAAGTTTTAGGGACACTCATATAGAGGTTATTTCCAATTTGGAAATTCTATTACTTGACCTCTCAGAACCTTGTTTTATTAACTTTTATAAATGAGGTTGTAAGATTCGACCTACCTAGGTCTTTGTAAGGATAAATGAGATGATGTAAGTGAATGTAATTTATAAATTGTAAAGCACTATACAATTATGAAGTATTATTAGTCATAATTCTGCCCGGGTCTCTGCTCCATCAGAACCACTTTGTGCATACTACTCTTACTGTACTTTGCAATTCCTTTTGAAATTATTTGTTTACCTATATGCTTTTCTGATTGTTATTTCTAACCCCTTAAAGAAATTACCATCACGTTAGGGCAATTCTAGTTTAGTTCTTATTTTACCTGCTCTAATCATAATTGTCAGACTGTTCTTAACGTATGAAAGTCATCAATATCTAGAAGTCCCTGAGAGCATCAAAAGAAACAGAAACTGCCAACCATATTAGCATATAAAATAAGACAAATTCAATAATCATTTGTTGATTGTTGGACACAAAGCAATACTATACTAAGCACTTTAGGTTAATAAGTTATGATTGTGGTCCTCAAGAAGTTTACAATTTAGTTGAAAAGCATATCATAGGGGTAATCCAAGTCCAGTAGTTCTCAAACTTAAATGTTCAATAACCTGAGGAGTGCACTGTTGTTGTTTTCTTTGGGGTTGTCTAAGATCTTCAGTCATTGTTATAGGCAGCCAAGGTCTCGCATTTCAAATTCATTCTTTAGAGATGAGAAATTTATTTATATAAGGTTTCGAGGCCATAAATCTTATTAGAGCTTAGATTAAGCCCTAGATTAAGCTCAGAATTTTCTCCCTCACTCACTCAAATACATAAAGTTAAGGTTAACCAAAATGAAGTTTTTTTATCCAGTGCATTTGTTTTTTCTTTTGGCCAAATTCAGGAAAATGAGTGTTTTCCGTATCTATTTGACATTGAAAAGAAAGAAAGGATTACAATTTTGTTTTACTTTAATACTCTGCAATTTAGCTTATTTCTTGTAAACTGGAGAAATGGATAATCCAGGCTTCTAAAAGTCAAAGGGTATAACGATAATATTGAAAGCATGTAAATTAAATCGGTGTTGTTGTTTAAACTATATTTTTTAATTCAGTATACCCTAACACTGTATAAAATAATTGAGCTGTATGTGATGCATTTTTAGCTCCCTAAAGAAACAAAAAACCTAGATCACTAAAGAACACCTTTTAAAAGGTGGTGTTATTTTATTTCTACTTTTCAAAAATATATATATATAAGATTTATTTAGGACTTCCACATTTGCCTAGGGGTTGTTGTTAGTGGTAGGCCAGTGAAAACTAGTGAAAAGTTTACATGGCCTTCCAACAAGTCTTGAGGAAAGCTTACTGTATGATAGTTCCTTGGTAAAGGAGGACCAGCCCCATTTTGCAGGTGGGAGCATCAGAGCTGAGAGTTAAGTAAACTGATCTGATTTAGGCCAATAGAATTAGCAGTAAAGCATGGTAAGAGCATATTTCTAATCACCCAAATAGAAGGTGCCTCTGCGGGTTTAAATAAGAGCTGAGATCCCTGTTTGATTAGAAAAATTCCTTATCATCCTGTAAATACCAAAGCAGTGGAGAGATGTGGCCCCTCCAGGATGATGTGACTACACTTCTGAGCACACAGTAACAAAAAACACACTTGCTGAAGGTAAAGCAGTGACTTAGAGAGGCACCCAGGGAGGAAGACATTGCTGCATAGTGTTTTAGCAGCCATATAAGATAGATCTAGGCTTCTGGGAGGCAGCATTATGGACTTGACCACATAGGAGTGAACACTAGTTCAGACATAGGCATATGTGATGGTCTCCTCTAGCAGCTAGCTCTTCCCTGCACACTGTAACCTTTCCTGGGATCTACCTAATTACAACAATAAGAAAAATGCTTTCTTTTCCCAGTTCTTAGTCCTCGCTGTTCCATGTTGACTTGGAATTTCAGCACCTGTGCTTACCAGTTATTTCTGCCATTGCAAAACATTCATATGCTACACATGATCAAAGAATGTGGATGTTTGGAATTCATGTAGCAGACTTTTGCTGTATAAAGCAAGACCAGCCTTACTTACACTTTAACTAAATTAGACTGTAAACTATGCAGCGTGACTGGAGAGGTAATGAAAAAGCCCTGCCCCTACACCCCCACCCCACACATTTTCCCAGTGGCTCCTTGCATTGCTTGATATTTAATCACCATGGATATAAATTGTTTTAGGTTAATCAGCCTTCTCGTTTTTAATGCAAATATAACCAAAATCAGTAAACAGTAAGGCTACAGGCCCTTTTTTCTTGAACAGTATGGCAGAACAGAGCTTCCCAGTGGGTTACAGGTTTGATGTGAGATATTAATGATGGAAATTTCTTATAAGGATAAAACACTTCTTACCATTTTTAAGAATCACGTAAAAATTGACAGTAGTTGAAGTTAAATTTGAATATTGCTTGTATGACTTCCTGTGTAAGCATCCTGAATTCAGAAATTACTCCAGCAGAAAAGAGATTTTACCTACCAATCTCCACTAGAGGGTGTTTTGTCATGGTTATACCATGTAGCATTTTCCCAAGATGTGCCATAGAGGTATTGTCATTTCCTAATATGTGCTATGACATGAAAAGATCACAAATATGATTCATTTTGGCATTTAATTTATGTATTATATACTGTCACCTTATGTCACAAAAGAAGGGATATTTTTAAATACAACAAAATAAATAGGAAAAAATTTCAGAATAAAAAACAGTCCTCATATTGAGTACATTTCTTTCATCCTGCCAAGGACCCAACAAACTTTATCATGAGCAAGCACTGGGTTGAAATACACTGGAAAGAGGTTATTTAATAAAAGCAATTGGAGATCAATATTGATCTAAATGGTGTTGCAGGAGCCTATGTGATATCTATGGAACTTCCATATTACTTTCCAAATTATATTTTGTGCAATCCAATATTAAAATTTATTTGCACTTCTTAAGCATCAACAGAATCAAAAGGTATGGGCAAAAGAGCATTCAGAGTTTGTTTCTGGGGGGAACAACTTAACGAAAATACAAGTTAAGCACTATGCTAGGTGCTAAGGATCCATAAATGAATAAGACTTTTCTCTGTATTCAAGGAGCTCAGAGGGAAAATAAACATCCATCAAAAATCAATTTAGGGCCGAGCCCATGGCGCACTTGGGAGAGTGCTGCGCTGGGAGTGCAGCACCGCTCCCGCCGCGGGTTCGGATCCTATATAGGAATGGCCGGTGCGCTC